TCTTGGGCCCTGCCTTGGAGCTTCCTGTTCCTGTATAAGAAATGCATTCTGATTGGAGGTCAGACTCCCAGGTTTGGTTGAGCCTTGCTGTAATCTTCCCAGGTGCCATGTGGTGATATGGGTAGAGGGCTAACCTATCATGTCCTGATGACCATGCCTTAATCCCATCACCCTGGAACTGAAGCGGTGGGTGGCGGGGAGCAGGGAGCTGCAGGGAGAGCTGCTTTGCCTTTAAAACATGTTTCTCATCCTGGGAAATATAATATTCTGCTTTTTTAACATTTCCTAAAATACTTCATTTTTTTAGGAGAGGGGTGGGTGCTAACTTCCTACAATGTTTTGTGATTTTGCCTACCAGTGACTAAATATTGTAAGGCTCCCACACTCCTGCCTTTAATATTTAGACTACCCAGCCTCTCCTGAACTTTTGATACCCACAATGCCAAGGGAGGGAGGGGGAGAGAGAAAGTTGAGTGTGCTCTCCCTTTTCTGCCAGTGTGGGTGGCTCTGCATCCCTTGTGCCCTCCTTCAGACCAAAAGGCAGGCATGTGCACCAGGCATAGAGAACACTGTAGACAAGGCTGCACAGCTGCATTTGAATTTATTGCTCCACGATCTCTTTTCCAAGCCTGCCCCCTTGACTTGTGCTTTGCCTGTCTCCCTGTTTGTACATCCCCCACTCAGGATCCAAGCACACACTGTCTGGCCTTTGAAGCGTTACTGACCTTTGGACGGTACTGGACTTTGGAGGGTTAGCAAAATACCTTGTTTCCATTTTTAACATTGTTCCTCATTTCTGCAACTAATGGTGTAAGTTGCTAGTTGGAGCTAGTCGGAAGACATGCTAATCCAGCATTCGTTCCAAATTCCTGCCTCACCATTTGCATTTTCTACTGCTGATTTCCTAGCAGGCCAAAAAGCTCCAGTCATAAAGACAGTTTCCCAGGGGAAAAAAAAACAAAATGATTTCCCCACTTCATGCTGTACTGAAATTAAATTCATCAACAGCCTGAAACTGAATCCTGGCAAGAGAGAATGGCTCTGAATTTGGAGCTTTTTGGTCCATGGAGAATTACCATCTCCGGCCTTGAATTGCCCCAGACAGACACCCTTTCTTGGACCAACAATCTCTGCTCATAGTCATCACACCCTACTCATCTCCAATCTTGACTAATGCAATGTGCTCTTCATGGGGCTGGACTTGAAAAGTATCTGGAAGTTTCAATTGGTTCAAAAAAGGTATAGCCTACATGATATGGTCACTTATAAAGCCCTTCATGGTATTGGACCTGGGTACTTGAGAGACCGCCTGCTGCAAATTACCTCCAATAGACCGATCAGATCCCACAGATTAGGCCTCCTCCGAATTCCATCCGCCGGCCAATGCCGACTGGCGACTACCCGGAGGAGAGCCTTCTCTGTGGCTGCTCCGACCCTCTGGAACGAGCTCCCCGTGGAGATTCGAACCCTCACCACCCTCCAGGCCTTCCGCAAAGCCCTTAAAACCTGGCTGTTCCGACAGGCCTGGGGCTAAAGAGCTTTTGCCCCCCTCCTCGAATGGTATGGTTGTTGTGTGTTTTAATTGTGTATTGTCATGTTCGTCTTTTTATCCCCTGTCTGTACCCCCTTACCTAACTGAATTGTGAGCCGCCCTGAGTCCCCTTCGGGGAAAAGGGCAGCATATAAATGTAATAAATCCAATCCAATCCAAGTCCAGACCAGGGGTGTTAAACTCAATTTCATTAAGGGCTGCATCAGGGTTGTGTTTGACCTCGGGGGAGCTGGGGTGCGTGTGGCCAGCTCAACGTCACTCATGTCAGGGCACCTGTGGTGGCCCAAGCACTCTACTCCCAAGCTCCGTTTTCAGCTGCAACAGCCTCCTGTAACTCCCTGATGGCGAAAATGGAGCTCGTGAGGGTCACACGTGGCCCTCCTGAGCTCCAATTTTGTTGGCAGAGGCACCGCGGGATGGTCCTTTGCTGTTTCTAGGGTGGTCCCCACGGGTGAGATATAAGCACCCCGCAGACTGGATCCGGTCCCCAGGCCTTGAGTTCGACACCGCTGGTCTAGGCCCATGTCATCTCTCTTATGAGAACTGCATTAGCTGCCAATTCACTTTGGAGTCCAATTTAAGATTGCTAGTTGTCACCTTTAAAACCGTAAGTGCCTTGGGGCCAAGTTATTTGAAGGAGTATCTTTCCCCAGTTACATGTCCAACCCATCAGAAAGGAGAGGCAAGGAATGTTATGGGTCCCCTCTCTGGTTTTGCCAACAGACGTAGGGACCCCAGGATAACATGGAGTCCATTAGGTGGTTGGTTTGATAGATTGATGTCACCTGCGGAAGTGTTGTTGGCTTTTGTACTGCAATTTTATTTTTATAAGCCCCCCAGAGTCACTATGACTGAGTGGGCGACCATATTGTGGGAAGAAAAGTCCGGTTCCAAACCGGGAGAAATCTGCTGGAAATAAAATGAAGGCTGACTGCAAGGAAAGGTGGTGGGTTTTTGATTTGTTTTTTGTTTGTTTTGTTTCCAGAAACTTCAGTGACAGCAGCAACATATTTGGGCATACCATACCACACCGTGTGTGTGTGTGTGTGTGTGTGTGTGTGTGTGTGTGTGTGTGTGTGTGCACGCGTGCATGCATACACACACACAGCAAGGTTGTCTAAAATATGTAATTTCTAAAATGCATGAGCTAACTGTAATAAAAAGCACTATTATATGGTCTTAATGCAGGATTTGTAATGAGGTGGTATTAATGTAAATAAGAATGGAAATTCTTAATCCCATCAGCTGTAGGACCTGTGACTGAAGGTGTTTTGCTTATGGAGTAGATTGGCCCAGTCTTTCTTAATAGTTACAAAATATCCATCTCTAAAGTCTGGAGGCTTCTGTTTGAGGCTATTAAGAAAGACTGGGGCTGTTTTCTGCCTTTGTTAAGATTTTTCTCCATTTCTTCCTCTGGGGGAAATATAATAATCTACTTCTTTTAATATTCCCCAAAATATTTCATTCTTGGAGGGGAGGCTTCCCACAGTATGAATTTCCTTAATAAATAAATTCCTGTCAGCTTTTTTCTCATCAGAGAGAAAAAAAAATAGGATTTTAAATTATGGATTTGGAGACAGTCACTAAGTGAACACTGGTACCATGGGACATAATCAACTGAGTTTCATGAATTTTAATCAATTAGCACTGTGTGTAACAACCCTGGCTGTTCTCTTGAGGCTGAACAAGGCCATGGCCAACAAGCAGAAACTCACATGAGGTGGTTATTTGATGCAAATGGCTGACAGACTAGGAAAAAAAGGCTTAAGAAGATGAAGGGAAATAAAAAGATCTGGCAGAAAGAGAGCATAAAATTGGTCTCAGGAATGCCCTTGCAATTTTTACAAATTGCTGCCAAGGAGGTATTGAGACTGTGGCTATTTATCCTGTCAGATTGTGAACTAAACTCAATGAAACTTTAAGGGGCTGCCACAAAGAAGAAGGGGGTCAAATTATTCTCCAAAGCACCAGAGGGCAGGAGAAGAAATGATGGTTAGAAACTAATCAAAGAGAGAAGCAATCTGGAATTAAAGAGAAACTTCCTAACAGGGGGGGGGGGGGGGACAATTAACCAG